TTTATGATGCAGTTGAGTTTGCATGGTCTCATCCTATGAAAACCATCCAAGATGAAGATGGTGTTACCACTCTTGTGAAGAAACCGAAGAGGAAATGGATTCTAAATGAAAAGGCTGCTAGAATTGTCAACTCAAAAGCCCTTTTTCGATCTTCAACGCTGTAGATGAAACTCAAGTGAAGCTGATATCCAACTGCAAAATTTCTAAGGAAGCTTGAGACATTCTGAAAACTACATTCGAAGGATCAGTGCAAGTCTGAGAATCAAAACTGGATCATGTGCAGACATTGCTCAAAGAGATAAAGATGAATGAAGACGAAACAATTGATATTTACTATAATCACTTTATGGATGTTGTCAATCAAGTTGAAGCTCTTCGAATGCACTTTGAAGAGAAGAGGCTGGCGAGGAAAATGCTTAAAAGTCTCATAACAAATTTCAGGCCAAAGGTGATTATGCTCGATGAACCACCAAAGCTGAAAAATATAACATTGGATGAATTGTATTGTACACTGGTGAGTTATGAAATGAACTCTTGAAGATTAAACTCTTAAAAGTATGACGTTAAGTGCTGAAGACATGGAGCTAATAGAGTCCGATAAAGAAATGACACTGCTGAGTTGCAAACTTTCTTGAATGATTAATGAGAAAAGAGCAGCCAAGTTGAAGTATAAGAAGTTCCAGAACATAAGTGACTATCAGGGAATGAGTACATCCATTTCACGACGAAATACCCTGAGCAGAAGCCTACTGCTTACAACAAGCCAAAAGAAAAATTTGATGGTGGATTCAAGAAGAAGTTTCTCTGCAAAACCTGAGACGATTCAAGAACCTACCTGCTATGGATGTGGTGGTGTTGGACATATTAAATCTGAGTGTCTAATGGTAAATAAAAGAGAAAATAAAGTTTACCAAGCTACATGGAGTGACAATGAAGATGGTGAATCTGCTGGTGGTAAAGAACATACTGAAAAAATGATGAAGTGGTGGCATTTATGGCAAGTGTTGATGAGACCAGTAATGGAAAAGAAAAATCCAGTTCTAAAACTACTAATGAGTCAAGGGAACTTGAGGCTGAGAAGTTGATCGAAGCTTATAAGGAGATGGTAGTTGAACAAAAGAAAGCTGTGGTGAAAATTAAAGAGCTGTTGGAAACAAATATATCATTTGGAAGATCAAAAAGAAAACCTTCAGGATGAACTTAAAAAGCCGAGGAAGATTGCTGATGATAAATCTGCTGAATCAAAAAAGTTAAAGTATGAGAATTGAAATTGAAGGATGAAAATAGACTTCGGAAAGGAAATGAAAAATTAGATGAAGTTCTTTCAATTCGTAAACCATTTGATGATCACAAATGATTGAGTTTTTATGAATATTCTCAAAGTAAACCAACTACATTTGTGCATGGTGGTCTGCTAACTGATGTCAAACTCCCAGAAAAGAGATCAACACAAGTCAAGAAACAAAACCTAAGGAAGAGCGGAAGCAAAAATTGGAACAGAAACCGCAGAAGAACTCAGAATGATAGGTCGAAGGTATCACGACCTACTGACCGCAAATACTGCATGTATCCTGATAATTCGGCTGAGAAGTGTTTCAAGTTAGGAAAGGATATCATCAATAGCAGAATTATTAAGTGGCCTACTAAAGAAATCAGACTAAATATTAAGATCAAATTGGTTTGGATGCCCAAGGAAAATCAAAAGGCGAATATTATTACAAAGGCGTTGGATGCGAATCGATTTAAAAAGTTTTGACGTCATTTGGGTATACATTCGTACTCTACTTGATTTTTCATGTATAAGCTTAATAAATTCTCCAATATATTTATGGTGTTTGGAATATTCGTGGTGAATATTGGAAAGTAAAAATGATTTGAAAAGAAATATTTTTTTATGACTGGACAATGGTTAATTTGATGGAATTGTGAGTGTTCAATTGCACAACCCATTTTTGCTGAGTTGTTGATGCTGCGAAGTTGCTACTGCAACAAAATTGAATTCGAATAAACCGAAGTTGTTGTTGTTGTTGGTCATGCTGGTATTGCTGTCGATGCTGCTGCTGCAACCATTGTCTAACGAATAGAAGGAGAATAAATCTTTGAAAAGGAACAACTGAAATTGTTTGTAAAGCAAGTGAACATGCAATACTATTACAGTAAAAATATTTATAATTTATAATTTTTTATATGTAATAAATTTATTAGATACTATATTATCATTATTAATTGTTTTATTTACTATGATATATTTTTTTATAATTACGAATTAGAGTATTTTTATATTTTAATTTATATTTATTATATTTTATAAAGTTATTACTATATGATTCAATACTATTTATATTATTTACTACTTTATTTAAATATAAGTTTTTTTGACATTCTTTTTTCAAATAGATAAACTAAAAGGATGTTGACAAAATTTAGATATAAAAACACAAAAGTAAAGCAATACTATTGTGATACAAAATTGTTGATATATATATAGTATATATATATTTTATATATTGATATATATATTCACCTAATATATCTCTTATATAAATATAATATTGTACCCTAATTGTGTTCAATGAAAATAGAGTTTATTCCATAAATCGTAACAAAAATATTTTTAATTTTCTAATTTAAATTTAAAATATTTATGCATTTTTTAAATATTATTATTTATATATATACTTTTATTTCAAAATGATGAATAGAAAAGAATCTAAAAAATACAGAAGAGAATAATTCTTTAATTTTTAATTATATTTTTTATATTTTAAAGATTTATTAAGATTAAATTCTATTTTTATGTAACAAAAAAGTTATTTAAAAAGATAAAAAAGAAATATTACAGAAATGAAAAAGCAAATATTAAAGTTGTGTTTAGTTTATATTTTAAAATTTGAGATAATATTCGGTATAGAATGTTATTAATATAAAATTATTTTTCTTAAAAAAATAAAGTACATGTATTTTGTGTAAATATATGTATATATTTTTATTTTTTTCATCTTTTATTATTTCATTTGAATATTGTTTTATCTTTTAGAAAAAATATAATTGATTAACCTATAATGTATAAATAATTTAATTAATTACGTTTGTCTTAATTAATTTTTTAAATTTGATAATTATATTACTATTAGGGTGTGTTTGTTTGGAGGTTTGGATTTTGAGTTGAGATTTAAATAGTAAAAATTTTGAATTGAAATAGTTGTATGATGTGATATATAACTATTGATGTAATATTTTGAACGTAAAATTAATTTTTTGAAAATAATATAAAATATAAAAAATAAGTGTTTGATGTGATATTTTGGGCCGAAAATTTTTGGATGAATAGTATATTTTGACAAAATTCCTCAAACAAACATATATATTTTTTAAAAAAATATATTAAATTGATTTGATTCGAATAGTATATTTTATATATATAAAAATTTATAAGCATTATTTATAAAAAAAAATATTAAATTATTATATAATTTCATATAAAAATAATTCATAAATAACACAGTTAAACGCTAGTATTTATATATTTTTTACAATATATTATTACAAAACTACACACTAGTAATAATAGTAAATTAAATATTTCATATTAGGCCGAAAATTGTGCCCAAAAAGAAGCCCTCGTTATCAATGAACGAAGTCCAAGAACCGTGAAGAAAAAAAAAAAAACAAAAAACAAAAAAATAAATAAATTAAATTAAATAAAAGAATATTGTTACTACACCTAGCTATTAGCTATCGGCAATATAAATTATTATTAGTTAAGATAATTTATTAATTTAAATAAAATTGAAAAATTTAAAATATAATTAGATTATCTAAAATAAAATATTAATATAAAATGTACTCTCTCCGTCCCATGTAATATGGGTATATTAATATAGACACGCGAATTTAGGTAAAATATAATTAGTAAGTAATTAAGAAGTGTATTAGTAAAAATAATTATTATTTAGTAAAAATAATTATATCTTAAGATTAAGATAAATAAATAGTTTAATTAAAATTAAGAAAATTATAAAATTTAAAATTTAAAATGCAATTAAAGTAGATAATTATATTTTCAAAAATAGAAAGGACAAATTACGTAGGAAGGACGAAAATAGAAAATAAGGACAAATTATGTGGGACAGAGGGAATAAAATATATATATAAACTATAATATAAACACTATATATAAAACGGAAGAAGTAATACTTAATTTAAAATTTTTTATAAAGGAAAATTTTGTATCAAATAATAAAAATCAAGAAATTCTAATTATGTTCTATTAAATATTTAGCACAATTTCTACGCTCTATCGATGTAAAAAGTCACAAATATATAGGGGTTGGCATTACACATTAATTTTTTAGCTAGTGCATTAAGTGTTGGCTTTATTATTATTATTATTTCTTTGACAGGGTTTTGTCTTTAGTGCTTCACAAATTAGGGTTGACTTATGCACCCATTATTCCCATTTAATTTATTTATTATTTTTATTTTCCATCGTCTCATTTAATTTATTTTTTTAAAAGTATAATTATATATTTTAATTACATTTTAAAATTCATAATTTATACTCTTCGTTTCAATACAATAGTTTTGTTTTTATAATTTTTGTCCGTCTCAAAACAATAGTCTTATTTATATAAATAATCATATCTCCATAAACTACCAATTGTTTTTCATTTTTATTACACAATTATCACTACTTTTTACACTAATACATACAAGGACAAAAAAATCTTTTCTTCGTACTTTTGTCCAATAACTATAGTTATGGGGAGGAAACAATATTTTTATTTTAATTAAACTATTTAGTATCTTAATTTTAATATTAAATTATTTTTATTAAATTATAATTATTTTTACTAATACATTGTTTAATTACTCATTAATTAGCCAATACCTATACTACGTGTCTAAGTACAAATTAGCGGAGAGGGAGTACATCTTTCATTTTCCTAACTCCATTATAACCGTTCCTAAAATTAGTGTTTGTAAGAAATTCTCTGGAAAAAAAATTCAAGAAATGGAGAAAACAATAATTTCGAGGGAAAACATCAAGCCATCTTCTCCGACACCATCTCACCTGAAAACTTACACAGGTTCCATACTCGACCAGACCTCCGTACCCATTCTTATCCCTTTCGTTCTCTACTTTCTTCCTCGTACCATCAATGGCGACGACTTCATTTCCCTTACAACAGAGCAGCTCAAGCGCTCACTCTCCCTAGTTTTAACCCGCTTTTACCCTTTCGCCGGCCGAGCCAACGACGACGGCGAATCCATCGACTGCAACGACGCCGGCGCCGACTTCACGGTGGCCAGATTTTCCGGCCACCGGCTGCTCGACATTCTGAAGAATCCAAGCCAGGATTTGCCCGATCATCTCTTACCGGCGGACCTCGTTTCCGACGGCGAGAAGGACTGGCTGTCGAGAGTCGTCGCGATCCAAGTCAACTACTTCGACTGCGGCGGCGTCGCCGTCGGAACCCTTTTCTGGCACCGGGCGGCGGACATTACAACGATGGTGGATTTTGTCCAGGCCTGGGCAAGTGTTAATCGAGGATCGAAACTAGGGTTTTGCCCTAATTACATTTCCAGGATTCTATTCCCACATAAGGAGGATTTTAATTACGATCCGTTTGCGATGATTGGGTCTCTTAGGACAGGGAAATGGGCGAGCAGGAGGTACGTGTTCGACTCGCCGTCGATCGAATCATTAAAAACGAAGACAGGCCTGGAAAACCCTACCAGGGTCGAGGCTGTCTCGGCGCTCATCTGGAAGTGTTTCATGGCAGCCTCGTTGGCGAATGGGAAATCAACTTCCGCCATGTCACACGCCGTCAATCTGAGGGGGAGATTCCGGCCGCCGTTTCCATCGAATTGTTTCGGAAACTTCTTCGGAAACTCGGTGGCGTTTATCAGGAACGATAATGGAGTTGAATATAAGGATTTGGCGAGGAAATTGAGAGATTCGATAAGAAAGATTGATGAAGATTATGTGTCCAGGCTGCAAGGCGACGGCCGGCGATCGATCTCCGGCGACGTCGGCGGGGCGGAGGCGGACATCCTGGGCGTCACCAGCTGGTGCAGAATGGGTATTTACGACGACATCGATTTCGGGTGGGGGAAGCCGGTTTGGACGACGGCTTATTGCAACGGCAGCTGCGACGAGACGTCGAGATATGTAAATTTGGTTTGGCTGATGGACAGCCGAGTCGGCGGTGGAATAGAGGCGCGGGTGCTTCTCGGCGAGGGTTACATGGCGGTGTTCGACGCCATTGATGAGCTCCGGGACCTCGCTAGCGTTGAACCAAGTCCGGTATTCGGGATTGCAGATTGAATGAAAGATTGGTTCTCTATTGTATCTGTAATGGATGGGATGGTCTATTTCAACGTCGAGGGGTGTTTTTGTTTCTTTATTTAAAATAAGAAAATTTATTTTTCTCTTTTTATCGGAAACATAAGAAATTTTATTATTTAACATGTACATTCATGAACTATAATAAATTAATCTCTACCCTTAAAGATTTGACATATTGAAATAATTGAGATAATAAAATAAAATTAATAAAACTAATAAATCTAAACTAATTACTCAGTATGACTTTGGGCAATTAAATTTCATTACTTTGGGTTTTGAGGGAATTAAATTTTCTTTCTTTTATGAGATTTTTGGACTTTAGTAGATCGATTGAAAAAAAAAAAAAAAACCCAAAATTAATTGAACCGAAAATTAAAGGAAAGCAAAGCTCTTCCTATTCTGGTATTGAAACAAATAAGAAATTCTCAAATTAATTTGCGATTAAAAATTGAGTCATTGACGACTAGTGATTCGACCAGCGGCAGCCGGATTTCCGGGCACTGGCTACGGACTCTATTCTTCCGCGACGGCCATGGTTCGCCGGATCGGCCGAGTCCGGTCCGACTCGGCCGATCCGGAACCGGACCGTTCCGGTTCGTCAAAAATATCCGATATTTGCCCAAAATTTTCCCATCCATTCATATCTTATCTATAAAACCCATTATAAATCTTATTCTTACCGATTTTCTACTTTTTATTCATATTATTCGAACAATTCATCTCAATTCGATCAGATCGGAGAAGAAAACATTTACCAGTGGGCTGAAGAAGAATCGTGGAGGAAAGACCTCTGTTCTGCGTTCGCGTCTGAAGAAGAATTGTGGGGGAGGGGAAGAAGAAGTGGGAGGATTCTGCGTTCGCGTCGGTGAAGAAAATCGTGGCATATAAAGCACGGCGGTTCCGATTCCGCGGCGGTGGTGGTGGAGGCTCCGATTTGAGACATTTCGGCGACGGATCCGTCGAGGAACGACTCGATTTCGTCTGGCCAGGGCTTCGATTCTGAGGCAGGGGGAAATCGTGGGGGGAGGGGGAAATCGTGGGGAGGGGAGTGAGGAAGGTAAATTAATTATTATATTATTTTAATTAATTTAAATATTTATAAATTTGAATTATTTTTTATTAATTTGTTTATTTAATTTATAGGTTTAATTATTTTAGATTTAATTATTTAGAATAATTTGTTTAATTTATTGATAAATTTAGTTTAATTGTGTTGGATTGTATTTAATTTTTATTTAATCTATATAAATTGAGTTCATTAAAATTAATATTTTAGAATAACTTATAATCTTATTATTTAAAATTAATATTATTTTAGACAAAATTTGTATTAATTGTAAATTTATTGTAAAAAATTAATATTTTAACTATATTTTTATATAAACAAATTAGTTATCTACTTAAATTTTTGTATAAGTTTGATTTATTAATAAACTAATATATAATTTGTCTATTCAATTAATGAATTACTATTTATAAATATTTTAACAATTGTATTATTCAATTACAGAGTTTGTGTAAAATGGCACCGCACAGAGATATTGGTTGGGATCATGCTACTCCTATCAGCAATGATAGAAAACAAGCAAAATGCAATTATTGTGGTAAAATTGTTCACGGCGGAATTACTAGGATGAAACAACATATAGCACATGTTACAGGTCAAGTTGAAGCATGCACGAGAGCTCCAAAAGAAATAAGAGAGTTATTAAAAAACACTTGATCCAAGGAAAAAGTATGCGAGCAGCACATAAAAAAAAGTTAGAAGCATTGCAAAATTCCATTCGTTTGGAAGATGATTCTGATGAGGAAGAAGATGAAGTTTTTGAAATAAATGAAGATGAGATAGATGCTCTTGAAAGAAAACACTTAAAAAGAGCAATGGCTGAAAGCAGAAATATGGAATTTATGGAGCAGCAGCGTAGACATTCTGTTTCCGGAGATCTACCAAGCTTGAATTTTAAAGCCGGTATATTTATTAAATTTATAAAATATATTTAAATATTAGTATATTTTTTTTGAGATAACAACCATATATGATCATATGCTTTTTTTTTTTTTTTTTTTTTTTATCTTTGTAGGAGGAAGCAGCTCGAATACAAAAGGAAGTAAAAGAAATTTTTTCGAAAGCTCTATGAAAAAGACAGAAGGTTTGCATCAAAAAAAACTTGATCCATACATGTTTCAATCGAAGAATAAGTCTTTGAAAAATATGTTTTCAAAAGATAATGCAAAAAAAGTGGGTAGAGCAATTTCGAAATTTTTTTATTTTAATGCAATACCATTTCACGCTGCCGATAGTGGTCCTTACTACCAAACGATGATTGACACGATTGCATCGGTTGGACCTGGAGTTAAAGGACCTACTGGTAAACAAATTGGTGGTGAATATTTAAACGAGGAGATGCAAGAAGTTGTACAGTATGTTGATTCTTTAAAGCAGAAATGGAAAACATACGGATGTACAATTATGTGTGATGGTTGGAGTACTCGTACAAAACATCCAATCATAAATTTTATGGTGTACTGTGATAGAGATATGATATATCACAGTTCGGTTGATTGTACAAATAAGGCGAAGACTGCGGACTTTGTCTACACCCTAATGGATAAGGTGGTGGAATCAGTAGGGGTTGACAATATTGTACAAATTGTAACTGATAGTGAAGCTAGTATGAAGGCGGCTGGGAAAAAACTGATGAGGAAAAGGAAGCACATTTTTTGGTCTCCATGCGCAGCGCATTGCATTGATTTGATGTTAGAAGACATCGGAGATATATTGTCAGTGAAAGATACGATAAAAGAAGCCAGAAGAATTACAGGATTTATATACAACAGTGATAAAGTGGTTAATTTGATGAAAACATATACGAATGGCCGAGATCTGTTGCGACCAGGCATAACAAGATTTGCAACCGAGTTTGTTGCAATGGAAAGTCTTCTGAGATATGCAACCGATTTGAAAAGAATGTGTACTTCTAGAGAATGGGTTGAGTACAATAATACCTCGAGGAGAAGACATGAAGCCGGAGATATATCAGACTTGATTTTGAATGAAAGATTTTGGAAACGGATACGCCGAGTCTGTGGGGTCATGGAACCCTTAGTGAAGGTTTTAAAAGTAGTTGATCAAGATAAAAAACCTACACTACCTATCATTTATGAGGCAATGGATAGGACAAAAATGGCAATAAAAACCGCGGTGAAAGATTTTCAACAATATTGGGATATCATCGATGAAAGATGGTATAATCAATTGCATCAAGATTTGCATGCAGCAGGTAACTATTCTTGTTATTTTTTTGTTTTTATATTGTGCTAATCGTTTGTTTTATTTTTTAATTTTATATACATTTCATGCAGCTTATTTTTTAAATCCTGGTCTTCAATACTCCGGCACTTGTGAATTTGATTCATCGGAGGTTCGAAAAGGAGTAAAAGAAGTTATCAAAAGACTCGAGCCAGATTTGGATATACAAGTAAAGGCTATGAATGAGGTAAATTATGTGAAATTTATAAATAATATATAAATATATATATATTAATTTCTAATAATTTTACTATTATATTGTCTATAGATAAACATATTTGTTAACAAAATTGGAGAGTTTGGAAGTGCACTTGCTATTAGAGCTGTATCTACATCTTTACCAGGTATGTATTATGAAATTTATCATTTAATTATATTTTTAAATATACTTGTTATAAAATGTTGCATTATTAATAATTTTTTATTTATTTTTAATAGCTGACTGGTGGAATATGTACGGTGATGAAGCTCCTAATTTAAGAAAAATTGCATTAAAAGTTTTGAGTCAAACTTGCACATCATCGGGTTGTGAGCGGAATTGGAGTACGTGGGCTTTGATCCATACTAAACTTCGGAATAGATTAGCTATTGAGAAACTGCATAAGCTAGTCTATGTCCACTACAACATGCGTCTTCGGGTAAAAAATTTTATGCAAAGGACAGACACAGACGATTTTTATGACCCAATTGATTTGAATCATATTTTTGATGAAAATGATATTTTAGATGAATGGGTTAGAGAAAATGAATCTCCACTTATTCGTGATAGTGATTTGAATTGGTTGGATGAGGCTATTGAAGAAAGTGGAGATCGAGGTCAAAGTGAGCATAATGATCATGACAGTGATATGCTTTTATCTCAATTTATAGCTGATGGAAAAAAGAAGGCGAAAGAGAAAAAATCAGAAAACAAAAATACGGCCAAGAAAAAAAAAGCAATCATATTGGAATCTTCATCTTCATCGACTAATGGTGAAGATAAGAATAATAACAATGATGATGATGATGATGATGATGATGATGATGATGGTGGTGGTGGTGGTGGTGGTGGTGGTGGTGGTGGTGGTGGTAGTGGGAGCTACAGGGATAGCCGATACTCAAGTGATATGGGATGGGCTCAAGGAAATGAAAATTATTATGCTACCCAAGACACTGATCATGGATATCGTCCTGGTATAGAAGCTCAAAGAGATTTTCTAAATAGTTTAACAGAATTTTCAAGTGAAGCCGATGCTTCAAATTTTTCAGATACTAGGAGATATTCTGGAGTTCACGAACATATGCAAGACTTGAATATAGGTTATTCCTATGGAGATTCTTCTCATAGCTCGAGTAATAGATTGAGGAGACAGGAGTGGGACCAACCAAATGCATATCATAATCCCTATTACTCAGGATACGGTTTATCTAATCTACCCAGACATCTTCAGGATTCAGCCAATCTTCCTATATTTGGATCCAACCAACCAGTTGGAACATATTACGGAGGGATTACATCTGGTTCGGGTAGTATTGATGATCGTAGACAAAATTATGGTTCATCAAGCAGAAGCAATGATAATAGAGAATATCGAGGTTTTGATGTATATGGAAGGGGTTCATTCAGAGAAAATCAATATGGTTCGAACATCTCTCCTTATCCAAGCAATATGAATCCAGATGAAAATGATTTTGAACCTCCACGACATTCCACATGGTATTGAATGGTAAGTATAAATATTTAGTATAAACGTAGTTTGAACATTTTATAAAATTTTATTTGTATTTTTTTTCTAATT